CAACAGCCCGGTCGTGAGCATCTTCTCTATCTCACCGAGTATCCGTCGGGACGCGGCCAAACATGGTAATTAAGAGTCTTTTTTTTCTTTAAGTGTTTATTTATTATATTATTAACAATTTTATCCTTTTTGATAGGTTCAACCGATCCGGAAATGGGATCAGCTCATGGATCAACCGGATGATGTACTCGGACCTCAATAAGGGATATCCGACGTTCACACACTTCCCTCCCGCCGAACAGGAGATGTGGTTTCGTCAGTTTGCGGTAAGTATTCTGCTTTTTGAGTTATATTTTCATCTTTAATATTAATATTATACTAATTGTGTTTTTTTCCAGCAAGAGTTTACCCGGCATCCCGATCAGACGCCATTTATCCGCAACGCCTTCATCCATAAAGTTATGGATAACTATGGGAAGCAGATCCATGAGTGGAAGCAGAAGTGGCGCGTCAATAAGATATCGGTTTATTTAATTGTTTTTTAATTTTTTAATTTATTTTTAGATTTTTTTAACTACTTTATATTTATTTATTAAAAGGTCCCGAAGTCGACGAACGACACGGTTTGGAAGGACTTGTGTGAGCACTGGCAGAAAGGCGAGACGGCAGCAACCTCCTGCACCAACTCCACCAACCGCAACAGCGATCGTCGCGGTAAGGGCGTGGCCAAGCACAACATGGGTGCCATGAGTATTGCCACTCTTGGAGATAAAATGGTAACATGAATCTCTTTTTTTCAATTATTTAAGTATNATCGGTTCCTTCTACATCACAACCGCCTATTGATCCAGCGGTTATGGAGCAGCTGCAGGACAAGGATGCCCGCATAGCTGCGTTGGAGGCGAAGATGGCGGAACAAGAGAAGGGGTGGGAGGCATCGAGAAAGCAGAACGAGGCCATGATGGAGATGATGAAGCGGATGTACCCGAACGAGCAATTCCCGTAGTTTTTTGTTTTCAAAAACTCTGAATGTTTTTTTTTATTTGAACTACTCTATTATCTAATATATTTTCAGTTTACAATTTTATTTTATATTTTCGAATTTTAATTAAAAAACAATAATTTATAATTAAAAAAAAATATATAAATTTTGGAAAATTCCGAGGAACTGGGCTTCCTCGGAATTTTCCGAGGAGATTGAGTCCTTGGAAAATTCTGAGGAACTGGGCTTCCTCGGAAATTTCCGACGACAACAGTTCCTCGGAAATTTCCGAGGAAGCCCAGTTCCTCGGAATTTTCCGTGGAAATCGTTTGTCGGAAAATTCCGACGACGTGATGTCCTCGGAAAATTCCGACGAATCCTGTCGTCGGAATTTTCCGATAACATCTATCCCTCGGAAGTTTTCATCGGTAAAATCCGAGGAAATTCCGAGGAAACGTCTGACGAAATGGTTTCTCGGAATGTCCTCGGAATTGTGGTTCTCGGTATTTTCTCAGAATTTTCCGAGGAAATTCCGAGGAAACTGGAATTTCCGACGAAAATTTTTCGACGACCGTTTTCGTCGGTATATCCTCGGAATATCTATATTCCGACGATATTCCGACGAATTTTTCCGTCAGAATCGCCGTGTTTTCTTGTAGTGAAAATTACTATATAATATAATTATTTTATTTTTATGTAAATTATAGACGAAAAAATAGGTAGCTATTGAAGATGGTCTAATCATGTAGAAGCTAAAATTGTTGTGTTTGCCAAGGTGAGATTTGAAAACATCGTTGACAAAACATAAGAAAGCATATATATGCATATTAAGTAATTTCTGTTGTTGTATAACAATCGTTCTTCTATTTCTAAATTCAAGGTTACGGATCACTCGACTTTCTAAATCAAACGATTACTTAAACTCTTACAAAGACAACTCTGTTTTGGATTAGTTTTGGATTTAACTAATTATTCCAGACCTTTAGTCTTGATCCTTTGCATAATGATCGGATCAAAACAGATTTACTGTTTCTCGAAAAATCAGCCAGAAAGTAGATTATATACACGTTTAAATCTATTACAAATTCACAAAACATTCAAACACAAGATAAAGAAACCGTCTTATAAGAACTACATACGTTGTTTGAAGGCTCTTTGTTTTTCACAATGGAGATTGTTAGATTCGCCGTCGCCGTCTTTTTTGTACTTGTCTCCGTCTCATCATCTAACGCCGCAACTGCACCACCGAGCTAGCAGTGGAGGAGATGCTCACGCAATGCCGTGTATACAAAAACTTATGCCGTGTCAACCGTTTCTTCATTCGGTGATTCCACCACCGCATCCATCGTGTTGCCTGCCAATGAGGGAGATCGTGGCCAATGACGCCACGTGTCTTTGCTCCGTCTTCAACAACGTGGATATGCTCAAATCGCTTAACCTCACTAAAGACAACGCTAGCTCTTGATCTACCTAAAGCGTGTGGCGCCAACCCTGACGTCTCACAATGCAAAGCCACCACCGGTGGTGAGTATCTTATTATGACGCCGTTTAATAGATTTATTGCTACTGTTTTTTGGTTCCTTATTAGCTTCTAAATTTTGTGTTCACGAAGGTGCTACTACGCCTTCAACGTCCCCGGCAACTCCCAAAAGTCCCCCGGTGTCTTCCACCGGTATGAACACAAAATCTTCAAATGTTCAAAATTTCTTAAAAATGATTGCCATGGTTTTATAAAAATATTTAAAATGTATTCTGTTGATAAAGAAATTAAAAGGTTACAAGCCTTACTACTATCAACGGGTGAAGATTTTTTTTTTGGGTTGCAAATTTTCCTTTAATATTTCACTTTTTAATTTGAAAATAGCAGTTATGGAGTATTTATTTTTGTTTTAAAAATAATTAAACAGGAAGCGGTTCCACCGGAGCTTCAGCCTCTTCAACGTCCACACCGACAAGCTCTGCTCCGGCCATCAACTTCTCCGGACATAGCTTCGCATCAGCGATCGTGGCGTTGGCAACAATCTTTTTCTGATACTATATTACATCACGTCTTTATTCATTATTATGTATATTTAATTTGTGTGAATTATGTTTCGTAACTGAATATTAGTATGTATTGAGAAAATTTTATGATATTAATAATTTCCAACAGCTCTTTATCAACATTTTCTCTAACTACTTAAGCGCCCAAATTTTAAAATTATCTCAGTGAGTATTTTTTTGGTAAAATTTGGAAAATTATCTTATTAAGTTCTTATGAGTTAAGGGGAAGTCGAGCTAGATGGGAGCCAATTAGCTAGTAATATATCTTTTGTCTAGACAAAGTACGATTGACAAACATGTACATCACCACAACTCAATCTGAATAATGAATTAATGATAATATGACGTTGCTAGTATTTATGTAAATCTAAGGTTTTTCCCAGACTCATGTACGCATATAAATATTTTCAAATTAAATATATTATAAAAATAATAATATATGAATTTAAATTAAATCAGTTTATAATTTATATGTATGATTTATTTTAAATAATATTAGATTATTTTAAGTAGATATGTAATTTTGGATATATAATATCTAACCGATTTTGTTATTATTTGAATATATTAGATTGCATTAACTTTTCTGAATTCAATCACAATATTTTATTGTACTAGATAGATTAATTTTTTTTATTAATTTTGTTATTTGCATTTAAATTTTTGATTTTAGGTATACGAATTTATACCGTTTAAGTTATTCATTCTGTAGATTATATTGAGTTACATATATTTTTTTCAAATGGAAGTACAGCTACTTTTATTCTAGTTAAAAAATTGGATAGTTTTATTTATTTTATTAGTTCAGTTTTTTCATCTTTTAATATGTATTTCTACATTTTTATTTTTTCTCTTTGTAAAATTTGATATTTTTAATTTATAAACATAATAAAAATGCTAAAGTAATGATAAGTACGAAGCTCCATAAACCGGCATTACAATTAATTTTTTAAAACTCATGAATGAATATTAATATTATAAAATAATTATTTTGTAAATTTCATGTAAATATATATTTTAGATGTATAAAATTTAATTTAAAATATTCTAAATAATCTTAACCATAAATATTCATATTGTTTTATGTATTATTTTAGGTATCTTAGGTTGAATAAATAATAAGACAATTTAAAATCAATTTAAAGTTTTAAACCTCAAATAATTTATATTAGGTTTGATAAAGATTTTTATTTATGATTCTTGAAACCTAAATAAAAAATAAATCAAAATTATGAATTTAACAAAACAAATTATGCAAAAATGAATAAGCATCTCAATAGTCTAAATTACAAATATTTATAGTTCATAAAAGATATCTTAGTTTGTATTTTTTAAAGTAGTTTAATAATCTTAGAAAATAGATTGATATTAATAAATATTTTATTACTTTCAAAAAATATTTTGTTTTATATCAAGATTCTTTTTGTGAACTTTTGTTTTTTTGTTTTGAAATAATATTAAATATTAAATATGTTGTCGTACTCTTATATTCATAAAACGTATTTTCATAAAATGTACTCTTTCCTGTAAAATATATCTTCGTGTTTTATTTTATAAATATTTTCTTTTATTATATTGTATTTGGAAAATATAAGAAAAAAGGATCTAAGACAAAAAATTTAAATGACATAAATTATTAATTTTTTAATAATAGAAACTACAATAGAAGCTCTATAAATTAATTATTTGATAAATTAATAATCTCTATAAATTAATAAAATTCACTGGTTTCAACTTAAAATGGATCAAGATTTAACACAAATCGATAAAATAACAAGATAAGAATTTTTGAAAACAGTTATGTAAATATATGATCCTATTAAATTATAAATTAATATTTTATATGTATACATATTTTATATAAGCAAGAACCTATCATTATAAATGTCACTTTAGTTTTTCGCACACAGATTAATGAAGCAATTAATTTTACAGATTTTGTATATAAAAACACAGTTACATATACACTTAACCATATTTCAACGAATAAAAAATAAATTACATAATAAAATTAATACATTTTGCATTGAAAATCGAAAATAACACTTATTTTGTAACGGAAAAATTATCTATTTTGACACTTAATAAGAAACGGATGGAATATTGTTTACTTTATATTCACAATGAAATTATCTTTATATTTTCTAAGACTCAATATATTTTTGATGAGATTTGGTAATATTATATCTAAAATAAAATTTAAATTTTATTAAATATATATTATATACACTAAATAATATAATAAATTTAAATTTAAAAGTCAAATTTCAAAAGATAATAATTAATATTTATTCACTAAAATAAAATATTTATTATTTTAGAATAAATATATCTTAAAATTAAAAATATAAATAAGAAATTTTTTGTAAATAAATATCTTTATAAATTAATAAAATTTTAAAGTCTCAAAATTATTAATTTATAGGAATTCTACTGTATATATAATACTTTTAACTCATTAAAGATATCTTTGTAATTATACATCATAAAATTTAATGTTCGAGCGATATATAAGAAATTGACTTTCCATATAATATTACAGAGAACCTTATGAAAAATATAATTATTAGAAAAACAGCAAGTAATCATATCTTTTTAAAAAAATAATAATCAAACAAAATGTAAAAGAAATAATTTTGGGATTTTTGTTGCTGGAAATAAGATTTTGATCTACCACATAAAGACTGAAATCAAATGATTTGGATGTCTGTTTTAAAAAAATATTTAGTATATTTATTCATACATATTCTATTTATAATTATAATTTATGCTTTTGAATAATTTTGATATTTTTGGTGAAAATTATTTATTTATATGTATTATGCTTATTAGGTTTTAATTTTAATATTTTTTATTCTAGTATAACCTAATATCTATATTACTAAACAAAATAACTCAATTATATTAAATTATTAGAAGTTTGTAGATTTTTTTTCAAGTTAATATTTATGTGAAATCATGTAAGAAGAAACATTAATAAAACATAAATTTTCAAACCCTTTTAGGAAAAAGTGAAATACTGATTAGGTGATTAAAGGTGTAATGATTTTCTAAAGGCTCACCTAATCCAAAGTGTAAATTTTCATAAAAAGGCGCCCCTCTGGCCAATATCTTTTCTTCTCCAGTTCAAAAACGGAGACGAAGGCCATCGACGGCGATCTTCGACGGCCCTATCGATCTCCGATTGCCAAACTCGAATCCACACAAATAAGTCGAACTCTTCGAATCCACAAAAAAACAAAAAAAAGTCGTAATTGTGTGTGTGTTTCGAAACTTCTAGCGACTTTCTTCAATCGCGTCCAGATCTCATGATTCACCGTCCGATCTCGTGGCGGCTCCGTAAACCTTGATGCAACGACCTCATGCTCGTTCCAGGTTGAATCACAAATCAGATATGGATCATACTCGACCTGGCCAACGATCATCCCTCCCCGTCAAATCCAAGTGTAAACCGACGAAGAAATCAATTCTCCTCATAATCATCGGCTCCATCGCAATCGCCTTGTTAATATTCTTCGTTTGCTATATGTTTTTACTCTCCGGAAGGAATCACCGGAGAGTTTCGCTCCGTTACAGCGTCGTGATCGACGGCGGGAGTTCGGGGACACGAGTACACGTGTTCGGGTACCGGATTGAATCCGGAAACCCGGTTTTCGATTTCAGTGAAGGCGAAGGGTACGCTAGTATGAAACTGAGTCCTGGTTTGTCTTCGTATGCTGATGATCCGGAGGGAGCGAGTGTTTCGGTGAAGGAGCTTGTGGAGTTTGCGAAAGGGAGAGTTCCGAAGGGGGAGTTGAAGGAGAGTGAGATTAGGTTGATGGCCACTGCTGGGATGAGATTGCTTGAGTTGATTGTTCAGGAACGGATTCTTGAAGTTGCGAGAAGAGTTCTTAGATCTTCAGGGTTTAAGTTCCGTGACGAATCGGCCTCGGTTATCTCTGGTTAGTGTTCTCTGCTTAGGATTAGAGGTAGATTGTTCACTGTTGTTGAGAATGCTGCTCTGTTTTAGTGTTGGGTTTAGATGTTAAGTAGACAGATTGATGAGAGTTTATGAATTGGAAGAAGTATTATGGACTCTCATCAATCTGTCATGGTATGAATCAATCCAGCCCAATCCACATTGATCCGGCTCAGAGTTGGTTCATTGATCATTTCCCGAACATTCGGAGAGATTAACCATCATCATCTCGAGGGTGCATATTAGAGATAAAGTCTCTCACGTCAGTAGCTGTAGCTGGAAGGGATCCTTAGTAATAGATAGACTTATCCACTTATAACCAATTATTTTAGCTTGGAATCCCATTCAAGTATCTTTATTATTAGTATTGGACTGGTTTGGATAAGTGCTGACACTGGAATTTTTTTTTTAGGATCTGATGAAGGTATATATGCTTGGGTTGTTGCAAATCATGCACTTGGTTCTTTAGGAGGTGATCCTTTACAAACAACAGGAATTGTTGAACTTGGTGGGGCTTCTACTCAGGTTTTATTCTCTTCCCTTCAGATTTTTGAGATTGAGGAAAAACCCATAATTGTGTTGTAAACGAGTCGATTGCAAGCGATGAATGATGTCGGTTTTGTGCATTCGTTTAGGTGACATTTGTGTCAAGTGAGCATGTGCCTTCTGAGTTCTTGCGTACCGTATCTTATGGTAATGTTTCATATAGAATCTACAGCCACAGCTTTCTCAACCTTGGGCAGGTAACTTTGAAGAGCAGAACATTTTCTTTTTCTTTGATACATACTTTTTAGAAGTTTTGGGTTTGGAAACTGTATGTACCAGTGTCGCTATTTGCTGCTTGTTGATCTAAGAGTTTACATTTCCTCAAAATTGTAGAACATGCAACATTAACAAATTATTTATCCGTTTTGAATGTTGACGGTGTTATTCACGTGTGTTGCCTTGTAGGATGCAGCACATGAAAAACTATGGGAATCACTCAACAACTTAGGTTGGTTACTGATAACTCTGTAAAAGTAATCACTGGTTGACTGCACTTGAAAATTTTGTAGAGTTACTACAGCTTTGAGTTTAGGCAAATTGAAATAAGATTGTTCCCCTCAAAGTTTATACAGTGTTTGAATCCTTGCAGCTGCAAACTCTACAGGAGAAGTAATAGTTACTGATCCTTGTACTCCAAAAGGATACATCGTCGACAAAAACTCTACAGGGGAAGGAATAGTCTTACCTGAAGAAAGTAAATTTACAGACTCACTTCAAGCTGCTGGTAATTTCTCAAAGTGCCGATCCGCTGCCTTCACCATCTTGCAGGAAGGAAAAGGTAAAGAGTGTTATTGGTACAGCTGAATATCATTCCTCGTTTCAATTTTCTTTATATCTAACGAGTTTACTTTGAGTACAGATAAATGTCATTATAAGCATTGCTCTATTGGAGCATCATTCACACCTAAACTTCAAGGAAGTTTTTTGGCTACAGAGAATTTCTTCCACACCTCAAAGGTATAAAATTGTTTGTGAACGTCAATATTCTATCTTTGTTTGTGGAGATTTGGTTAAACATTGGTAGTATATTTCTTTCTGGATCAGTTTTTTGGGCTGAGAGAAAAAGATTGGCTATCTGAAATGATTGTAGCCGGAGAGAGTTTTTGTGGAGATGATTGGTCGAAGTTGAAAGTGAAACATCCAACATTTAATGACGAGAATTTACTTCGGTATTGCTTCTCATCAGCATATATTATCTCAATGCTTCACGATAGTCTTGGTGTCGCTCTTGATGATCAAAGGTAAAAGCTTACTGCACATTTCAAAGATAGACTTATGAAACGTGGGCTCTGGGTGATTTCCTTAAATATACTATGTTATGTTTTTTGTCTGCAGAGTGGAGTTTGCAAGTACAGCAGGAGAAAAAGATATACCACTAGATTGGGCATTAGGAGCGTTTATACTAAACACTGCAACAACCACTTCTGATTCCAGTGGTAAATCTAGAAAAATTCTTCTTGAGTAGAGTAACGTAGCCAAATACAAAATATATATGATATTAGTTACTATGAAAAATATTGTTTCAGAAGTAAATGATGATCATATATTTGTATTCACGTTTACTCTTGTTTAAGATTAAAAGTCTTCATTGTTCTCTTTTTAAGTTAGGTACATGTAAAAATATTGGATATCAAGTTGATGTAGAGTGGGGGGTTTTCCAATGTATTTTATGAATTTCAACATTTTTTACATAAATGACAACTTATTTCTTTTAAGCTAGATCCCACTTAAAACACATCTGTGGACAGATTCATAAAAAACACATCAAGAAAAATGGTGAATCAGTATGCAGACAAATGTCTACAAATAATCTTGATGTGCTACTGTAATCAATGAAACGTGACAACTTAATATCGTCCATTCATGCCCTATCTAATAAAATCGATATTTTTCTGTATAGCAGAGTTATAACCATATAATAAGTAGTCGTAAATAAAGCCAAAAATATGTAATGTGTTCGTTAGAACTGGATCACGTATAAATAGACATATGTGGCTCTGTCCGGGGTCGTGATTCACGTGTTTAAAAAAATGACCCGACCCGGCCCGAGTAGTTAATGCTAGTTGTAACTTTTTAAGAGTTTTTAAATATCAGCTTCACTGCCCAACTTCTTCTCCACTACGACAAAAAAAAATAGTAGACAGACTGAGAGTGGCGACAAGATTCATCGGCGGCTGTCTTCGAGCGGCCGTTTCCTACCTCCGATTTCTCACCACCGACTGTAATAAAAATCAGGTTCGTAATACTAACACTAAGAAACTTCGCATTCACAAAGAAAAAAAAAAACTATGCTATTGCGTTACGTGTATCTTCTCTTGCGTTTTGTTTTCTCATACGTTAAGATCTCATTATCATCTCATCAGTTTTCGTCACGGTTACTTTAAACATTGTTACATAAAACCAATCTCTTTACCGTTTTCAGGTTTGAAAACAAAAAATGAAACCGGGGATGGAAGAGAATCCTCTCAAGGTTCAGATGCTACCTGTCCACCACAAATCTTCTCCCACCTCGACCACTTACATTTTCACCACTAAGTCCGAATCAAAACCCACAAAACCAATCCTCCTGCTAATCCTCGCCTCCTTTTTTTCCATCGCTATCACGCTGGCCTTTCTATTTGTCCTCTACATGATTACCTTCTCAGGTTGGAAACCGAGAAGCTCTTTCCGTTACAGCGTTGTTATCGACGCTGGAAGCTCCGGTTCACGAGCTCATGTGTTCCGGTACTGGCTTGAATCTGGTAAACCGGTTTTCGACTTCGGTGAGGAGAACTACGCTAGCTTGAAGCTGAGTCCTGGTTTGTCTTCGTACGCTGATAACCCGCAAGGAGCGAGCGTCTCGGTGGCCGAGCTTGTGGAGTTCGCCAAAGGGAGAGTTCCGAAAGGGAAGTTGAAGAAGAGTGAGATTAGGTTGATGGCTACTGCTGGGATGAGATTGCTTGATGTCAGTGTTCAAGAAGAGATTCTTGAAGTTACCAGAGGGGTTCTTAGATCTTCCGGGTTTAAGTTTCAAGACGAGTGGGCTTCGGTTATCTCCGGTTAGTGTTTTTGGGAATATCAATTCTTGATCATTGTGGGAAGTGTAGGAGAGTGTAACACTTGTTGTTAGTATTGTTTGGATATATGTTTTGAGTGATAAATATTGGAAAATTTATGCAGGATTTGATGAAGGTATGTATGCTTGGGTGGTTGCGAACTATGCACTCGGTTCTCTTGGAGGTGATCCGTTGCATACAACGGGGATTGTTGAACTCGGTGGGGCATCTGCACAGGTTTGTTATCGTCCCTACCAAATTTGGTATTAATGAGACTTAAACTATATATGTAGGCGATGATAATTTGTTTGTGGAATTGTTTAGGTGACATTTTTTTCAAATGAGGTTGTACCTCCTGGTTTCTCGCGTACCATATCATATGGAGGTGTTTCTTACAAAATCTACAGCCACAGCTTCCTCCACTATGGACAGGTAGCGTCTGAGAGCAGTTTTTTTTTGTCTTTCAGGACTTGTTGATATAAGGCTACCAAGAAAAGAGATTTGTATCCTTTATTAATATTCAGCAAGTTACTAAATTTTGTTGCCTTTTCAGGATGAAGCACAGGAAGAGATATTGAAATCACTCCAGAACTCAGGTTAGTTGTTGGTAAATTACCCAGGTGGTCTTGTCTAAGGAACTTGGAGATCTTGTAAAGTTATAATTTAGGCTAATTAAAATGATTAAGTTTCTTTCCCTTCAGAATTCATACAGTATTTCAATCCCTTGCAGCTGCAAATTCTACAGAGGATGGGATAATAACTGACCCTTGTACACCTAAAGGATACATTTACGATAACGTCAACTCAGTTCAAGCTGCTGGTAATTACTCAGCATGTCGATCCGTTACATTGGCAAAGTTGCAAGAAGGAAAGGGTAAGAGAAATTATATATTGGTATAGCGCTACATACTGCTGCTTGATGCCAAGTGTTTTTCGTCATTTTATGGGTTCACCTTTAATGTTTTTGTTGTGTACAGAGAATTGTGTTTATCCTCATTGTTCTATTGGATCAACATTCACTCCTGCTCTTCAAGGAAAGTTCTTGGCTACAGAAAATTTCTACCACACCTCTAAGGTAATGATATAATCCATGAAAGTCATATTGGTTCAAGATTTGTGGAGAATTTATTTGAATATTAAGACACTGAGGGTGATTGGTTGAGATGTAGCAAAGGGTTTACTGTAGAATTTTTTCTGTAGGAATTTTTGATATAACTGTAACAAATGTAACTGTAAGAATTAAATGAGAAAAATAATAAATATGGAAATATATTCCTACAGCAATATTTTTTCTCTACAGCAAATAAAATAGTGCTTTAGAAAACAAGAGTGCTACAACTTTTTTTTTTAAATTGACTTTAGCTTTAAAAACTAGATAAAACATGATTGGTAACTTTTTTTGTTGTAGATGAAAATTAAAGCTAAAATCATTAGCTACATCCCAACTAATCACCCCCATTATGTTTTCGTCTGAAACAGTTCTTTGGGTTGGACGAAAAGGATTGGCTGTCTGAAATGATTAAAGCTGGAAAGAGTTTCTGTGGAGAAGAATGGTCGAAGTTGAAAGAGAAATACCCAACAACTAAAGAAAAATATCTGGATGGATACTGCTTCTCATCTGCATATATTATCTCAATGCTCCACGACAGTCTTGGTTTTGCTCTTGATGATGAAAGGTAAATGCTGCACAAACTCAAGAACAAATAGGTCAATGAATATGTTGAATTTGATCAAACTAAACTATGTTTGTTTTGTGTGCAGAATCGAGTTTGCAAATAAAGCAGGAGAAAAAGGAATATCACTAGATTGGGCATTAGGAGCGTTTATACTAAACACTGACACAACCACTTCTGATTACAGTGGTAGATCTAGAAAAATGCTCGGCTGAAGTAACGTATCCAAATACCCAATATGATATTTCATGTTTCCAATAAAACATGTAATTTATGTCATGTATGTTACGTTAAGCTGTTGTTGTTGTTTCTTTTTTTTTGTTATATAAGTTTAGCTACTCTTTATAATTGTGTTTGGGATTTTCAAAGCTTTTACGTTAAGAGCGTCTGTTTTCATTCGGCATTCGTGTGGACCATGTCAGATTATAATATGTAGACGTGATCATGTCTTTCCCTTATTGAAACGTTCCTGATTGGAGACTTGACTATTTCTATAACAAAACTTTCAATAACTTTCAAAATACTACAAGTAGGACTATACAATAAATACTCTCGGCAAGTTTGTAGCTGAACATTTACAGTCAACGACGTTAATATGTTTTTTTTAAAGATGCGAGTTCTATAATATTCTTCAAACCAAGTGTTTACTTAGTAAAACAAAAAATGTTTTACTTATTTTAATGAATCATATACTTATTCTTGGTAGTTGAACTTGTATCTTTCCTTTAACCTTATCCACAATAATACAACTATCCTTTAAAAATGTGTACTATACCAATATACCATTGAAGCAACAGAATATTATTCTGCTAAAATAACACTCAACATGTATTCTTTTAAAGAAGAAGAAAAATTATGAACACAAGCTAAACAAACAAAAATTCTAACTATAGTAGTTTAAAATGACATTTTTTGAAAGCAAAATAAAATCGAAAAGACATAAAATGATGACATTGAAAGGTTTTGTTATGAAATCATTTTCAGGATTAAAATAATAAAAATGATTACATGATGTATACTTCGAGTTATTTGACTGAGTTTTGATTTTTTACTTTGAATCAACGAGCTTGTATTTGTATGTAGGTTCTTGTATAATATTATATATTTCCTACCTAAACTATAATCTTAGTTGTTAGTGACTCTCATTATATTACTACCTAAGGTCAAGGAGCCGTTAAAACTATAGTCGACGGCTGTATAACTAACGGAGCCGTTCAGACGTCGTGATCTCTCTTTTCTCTCCTCTTCTCCTTGTCTTGCTATAAAAAACTGTTGTCCATTTGCTTGATTCACGGGAAAAATCTTTATATATTTTTCTATCTTCCCCACAAGTTCTTGACGACTCTGCTAACATTCCTCCCAATTTTTCTGCTCTTAAATCAAGGACGAGAAGCCTTTACCCTTCACCCGATAAAGTATAAACACACCTCTCTCTCAATCTTTTCACGTGTTTTATTAGTATAAAAAAACTGAGATATGAGTGAACATATAGTGGTAAATGTCGACCGACTGATGCGGCCGGTTCTTGCGGAGCCGTCTAGCCTCACGGCTAAGGAGGGTAATGCAGTTGATGCAGAGTGTCGTATTTGTCAAGAGGAATCTGCTATTCAGAATCTTGAGAGCCCATGTGCTTGCAATGGTAGCCTCAAGGTACTTTTTTCTTTGTTTCTTTCTCATTGTACCATGCTCTTACTAAGAGACTATGAGATTATCCATGAAGAGCTAAAATATTTTTTGTTTTTTGATCAGTATGCTCACAGAAAATGTGTTCAACGTTGGTGCAATGAAAAGGGAAACACTATATGCGAGATTTGTCATCAGGTATATTAATTATCCGTCCTCTGTTTTAATCTTTGAGGAGTAGAGTGACCTATAATGATCAATGGCAAAAGTCACTAGTTTAGGAGTGTATTCGTTTTAATCATATCTGCCTTCTTTTGCAGTTTTTTTTTTTTTGTAAGATAGCCATTATAGAGTTACTCACAGATTACAACTGTTTTTACTTTAGCCTTTTAAACCTGAATTCAACTCAAAACTTCATGAATTTACTGGAAATTTTCTATGTAAAGTTTAAAATATAACGCCCTTTTAACTTGTGTTATCCAGCCATACCAAGCTGGATATAAATCTCCTCCACCTCCACTCCCATCTGAAGAAACCACTATTGACATTGGGTAATGATCAGTTTTTCATCACACTATGTTATATATATATGACTTAAAATTGTTCTGACTTAATAATATTTATGTTTGTAGTGGAGGATGGACAATCTCAGGTTTGGATTTAGATGATCCACACATCATGGCAATCGCAGAAGCTGAACTTCAGATTTTAGAGTCGGAGTATGATGATTATACAGTTTCTGATACTAATCTTGCTGCCTTTTTCCGCATATTTGCTCTAATAGTAAGCTGCTTCTCAACAAATTTCAACCCTATACCAATTATTTTCTACTGAGTTTTAAACTCTATAACATCTCTCTCTCTCTCTCTCTTTGCTTTTTATTGCAGTTGATGACTCTTCTATTGCGATGTGCACTGACTATACCAGATGGTGAAGATGAGGACACTTCTTCTATACTTTCCGTAAGTTGAATCTCAAGTTTCTACAACAAGATTATACAAATTCCAACTCCGAACCACAAAAATAATCTATTAATTCTGTTTTGCAGCTATTCTTACTCCGAGCTGCCACTTTTCTTCTTCCTTGCTACATCATGGCATCAGCCATTAGTATCTTGCATCGGCGAAGACAAAGACAGGTTAGCTTTTCAGAGAAACTTATAATAAAACTTTTCTTATCATTTTGAGTCTGTCTTTAGGACATAATGACTTACTCCAATACAAAAACTGATGGAACAGGAAGCAGCGGCTTTGGCCAACCGGTTTGCGTTGGTGCTCAGCTCACGTCAGCCTAGAGCCATGATTAATTACTTGTCGATGGAGCCTTGATTTACTTTTTGATGGAAACTACTGATTCAAATATGGTTTAATCAAAGCTTCGATAGCTATAGGACCAATACAAGATCTAGCTCGGCTTTCTCACAAGTTAAAGCGTAACAAAGGATGATCAATGGCAAGGTAGTGCAGAGCTTCTTAAACGATCTAAGAAAGATTCTTTGTATGTAGAGTTTGAGAGTTTCTGATTTTGTGCATTGTATAAAGTGAAAATGTAAATTTCTGCTTCTTTCTTTTTAATCATTTTCGTTCATGCAATACTTTCTTGCCAAGAACTCAAATTCTTACATCAAAGTTTGAATTCTCTGGTCGAATACAAACAAAACTTTACTAAGATCGAGCATCGTACAAGAAGCATATTCATGTTTAACTGCGGACAGAAAGGAAGAGCAAAGCTAGTTTCCCTGCAATAATAGTTCCTTGATGTCATACCCTTGGACCTACAAAAAACAAAGACAAAACAAAGCATATGTTAAGAGTTATCAGTTCTTCTAACATTGTAGTGATCATCATAGTAATGTGTTCTCTACCTGAAGGAAAGTTAGCAGTAAGATAACTCCCGAGTTCCAGAAACCGTGTATGACCATCGGGGTAATGAGATTACGGGTTTGCGCATACGATAATCCCAAAACCGATCCTAAACCAGACCAAGATAGAGAGATATATTTGTATTTTGTAGTCAGAGAGGTGTTTATAAACATGAGAAGATTGGTTTCAGTTGTGTGTGTTTTTACCTAGTATAAACAACTGTGGGAATTCACCGGGCGTGAGGTGAGCAAGGGCAAACGCAGCTGAGCTGATGATGATCGCTATTGGTGTCGGCACCCTGAAAATGCGGAACAAAACATATACTATGTAGTTAGCTTTTTCTTTAGCTCAAGAAGCAAAATGAGAAGAAGACAAAGACCTTTTTACCATTTGGTAAGAGAGACCATGAAGAATCCACGAAACACTGTCTCCTCAAGAAGTGGAGCAAGGACTCCAGTTATCCCCACTAAGCTCAAGGTGCTGCACAATCATTATATGCAATTGTGATCAAGTATTTGATACACATCGCAAATGTTTTTTCTTTTGTGATAATACCTTATGTTTGAGGATCCAATTAAAGGGAGAAGCTTCATCAAAGAGTCTACCTGAAAATCTCATTACTATTAACCATCAGACAATTCATAAGGAGAAATAACAAACATAGACCAAGATAGTGAATTCTCCTAACCTCTCTTTCGGGTGTCTCTGTCCTGAATAAGGATAAAGCAACACCTGTTAACGCTATAGCACCAACCGCACCAACCAGACCGATCCCACTCCACACTAGCCATCCTTTTTTCAAGTTAAAGGGCTGTTTCAAATCTGAATATCAAACAACAAAAAAATGATCAAAGGCCAATAAATGTGCAAACAGTGAAAGACAGTGCTAATAAGAGCACGCAAAGTACCATAACGCAAAATGTCTTCAGGAAGTGGCTCGAATGTTTTGGCAACGGTGAAAATTACAGCAAGTACCGCAGCAGTTGTTAAGCTGCAAAGTAAATTACTTCAACATAAAGCATTTCATGTTGACATTATGGGTTAACTAGCTTGTTGGGTATACCCTTGATCCAGGAACAAAATCTCCGCCTTATCGTCCAAGCTCAGCTTCTGAACATCGATTCCTAGATACGGTAAGGCTAACATCTCAGTTAAACCTGTCAAAACAAAACTGCCTGGGAACAAAGTTAATCTCACACCTTTACACACTTAAACAAAGTGAGATGATAACTGCTCATCATAGCGAGTGATAGTCACTAAACTATTTTTAAACCAAAACAGAGAGACTTATCTTTCAGATCAAAAACACTCAACCACCACATTTTATCCTCATCAAACTTTAAAAACCCTAATTCATCCAAAAGGTAAGGTTTTGATTAAGAGTACCTTAAACCACAAGCAAGCGAAGTTAACGAAACAGTCTGCCATTCCCATGGCACTTCCCATCTCTCAAGTATCGGCCACTCTGACCCACCTCCCTGTAACTAAGAAAGCAACTTACTTTCATTACATTTCCCGACGTAACCAAACATGAAGCTAATCAAGCTAGTGTTAGAGAAAGAAAATAAAAAACCTACCTTTCCCTCTCCTCCTCCACTTTCTTTCTTAGAATTGGAAATGCACGCTGATCTCCATCTCCTCTGACTAACCGGAGATAACCGGCGGCTAGCAAATCTCGGAGATAACCGGAACAAACCGCCACGGTTGTAAGTCTTTGACGGGATTAAACTCCGGGACTCGGAGAGGCTGCAAAGAAGAGACGAAGATTTTGATAAACACGAGATTATCTGCGAAACCATCTCGATTTTTTCAATCGAGTAAAGTTTGAACTTTTGTCTTTGTTCTTACAAAAAATTTCGACCAAAGCAACTAGTTGGGTAAGAGTGATGAGGAAGAGGATAAGGTCCGACTAAACGGGTCGGGTAGAAAAATCCCGTCTTGATATATGGGCCTAAGCCCATATATGTCAAATTTAGGCCCAAACTCTTCCACGACCAACTCCAAAGATCCTTCGTCAATATGTTTTTTTTTCTTTGTCAGTATGTAACAAAATAAATACATCCCCCGTGAATACTAATTTGTAATTTTGTCCCTTAAGTGAATGACATCCACTCGTTTTTTCTATTAAAAATTCGATTTTATTTATAACCAAGACAAAAAAAAAAATAGTTAATATTATCTCAAACATTTAGTACAAAATCACTTGCAAATTGGCCCTATTGTCATGGTTAATGTTGACCCACATCCATTGAACAATTGACACTTAGCCTTTAGAGACACCCAGTAACTTCCCTCATGTTTCCTCTATTTATACTCAAAATCTAAATCATCCACAGGAAATAACAATGCAAAGTAACAAAACAGAGAGAAATGGTTACTTTAAGCTCATCTTCTTCTTCAACACCAAACACTTCTTTTGATTTCATGATGAGCAATAATAGTAACAGTCTCCATGGTCCTTTCTCTTCTTCTTCTACTTCCTTCTCTTACTTGACAAGCAAGGAAGATGCTCTCACGCAGAAGAATCTAAACATGGACACCAATCCAGAAAAGGATCAAGATGTTGTTGGACTCAGCAAGAAAGCTTCTGAAGAGATTGAGATCGGTGTGTTTGGAGCTGAGAAGTACTTCAATGGAGATATGGATTCCGACAACAGTTCCTCACTTGTGTCTCCTTCAATCGACAGAATCTTCGTTGGTCCGATGCAAAGCTCCAAAAACTCCTCTGAAACTCCGAGTCTTCGGTCTGAATCCAGCTGGAATAGCCAGAGCTTGTTGCTTCATAACAAATTGGAGAACAACAAGAAGAAGAAGAACCTCACTAAAAACCCTAGCTGTAAAAGTTACTTGCAGGAGAAGGATGTTAGTAGCAACCAAAAGGTGAGTAACAAGAAGAAGAGCTTTCTCGTGAATCTTGGCTGCAAAGGCGTTTGTTCTAACTGGAATGCAGTTGATGTCGTCGACGACGAGAAGAAGATCAAGACGCAATCGAGTTTCTCTGGAAACCTAAGCTCGGAGATGAAGCTTCATCAGCAACAACAACAAGCAATGTCAGAGCAGAGGAAGTCTCTTGAAATATTTGGATCTCCTCTTATTGAGAAGAGAATCATTTCCAAGAACTTTCCATGGGAAAACTCAAGCTCTGCGAAGCATGAAGAAGAAGAAGATGGGAGTGTGAGTGATTTAAGTTCAGATCTCTTTGAGATTGAGAGTGTAACAAGGAAGAACAAACCCTACCTTGCAAGACAAGAAAGCAGCGATGTAGAGTCACCGGATTGTTATGCGCCAAGTGAGGTAAGTATAGCTTGGAGTGTAGTAACAGCTAGTGTAGCGGATTACTCGGTTATGTCTGAATGTGCTACAAGTCCTGTCAAGAACCGGTCATTCCAGATCCCTAGAATCCCTATAACCGCTAAATCAAACCGAGAAACCGAGCCTCAGAGACAGAAATCGAGAAGTGGTAGTGGTGGTTTATTGTTGGGATGCAAGAGTCATAAAGCTGTCAGAGTTTCAGGTGATTCGTACACAAACGTGAACAGAACACCGAGTTATGTTCCAAGATTCCCTGTAGAAGCTAATCCAACAAGTGTCGAGACAAGGAGGAGAGTAAACAGTAGTTCCGTTCCTCGCACGCAATCTCCTTTTCTGTATGTTTAATGATGCTCTCTTTTCCCTTTACATGTAATGTCTATTGAGTGAAAAAGATTTGTTTTGCTAATATTATATTCAAATTTAAAATCGTGTGATGATTGCAAATCAATATTTACAGACCACAGATCAATATTTCATCTCTTGCACCATGTGAATACTCAACACATGTTTCTAATCTTCAAAAAAAAAAAAGAAGACAACCGAAGAATGCAATCCCATGTGACCAATGAATGTATAACTATAGCCTTTTGTTGAATCAAGAGACATGTCTTAATGCAGCACAGAGACTGGTCACAAACAAAATGGTCCACCTCATTTTCATGTGTGCTGTCTCAAGAATGGAAAGGTACATGATTAGGGGTTTAGATTTAACGGTTTTAATGAAACTCCGTACGAGTTAGCCAAAAAGAGCCAATAATGAGGAAGCTAAATCAATCAATGACAGTGTCATTTCACCTAACATGACTTAAATGCCAATCCAGAATCTTTTGGTCCAGAACTCATCTCAAGACCATGTGGTTGATAATGAGATAAAGTAGAAGAAGACAAGAAACCTTAACTGTATCATTGATGATGATATGTCTCGGTAACCAACTCCTTGTGAGTTGTGAATGTTAGGTTTTGGGAAGAAGATTGATTGTAATACAGCTTTAAAATCAGATCTCACCATGAAAACAAACTTGTGATCTTTAAATCAACACAGTGAATTCAACAACATACTTGATTGGCATATTATATTTCAGAAACATAGATGAACTCAGATTTGTCAAGAAAACATCCAACCCTGTCTTACATTATTATTGGATCCTGAAGATAAGCATTGTATCATTTTCAAAGGTCCACTTTTTCAATAATTGAGCAATCACTTCACTGGTTTATGAAACTAACCAGATAGAGAAAAATGATCAAGATTTCATGTGTAAGGATAAGAACAACAAAAGCAAGAAGCAATGACTGTCTGTATATGTGCGTTTGTCATTGACTAATAAAGAAGATAAATGAGACCCTCATAATCTGAAACAGTAAGCAGATCCAATAGAGAATATCTGGTATTTTCGAATATAACAAGATGAATTAACTGCTAGCTTACACAGAAAACATATATCCGCAGATCGAAAAGGAGAGACTGGAATTGTATGTACACAGTTACAAGTACACAGAGGTTCTCTAGCGAACAAATGATGAAGTAACGTAGCAGTGATTATAAAGAAACTCAACAAAAAAGAAAAGTTACTCATCTTTGGATACTTTGATTGGCCGTGTCTCAAACCCACCAGTGGCTCTCTTCTCAAGTGAATAAGGTAAGTAAGTACCAAGAATCCTATCCCACATGACAAAGAACGGCTGCGAGAAATTATATTTACTCCCATAGAGTTGATGATGAACATCATGGTAAGCAGAGTTATTACTAAAGAAGATGTGAAAGGGGTTTCCGGGGAGCCATAGTCCACAGTGATCATCTACCGTCTTGATGGTAGCGAAGGAGAAGAAAAAGATGGCAGTTCTTGGAGACATACCAGAGAAGAGGAAAGACAAAGCACCACCAATGGTGTCTAAGAGAAGGCCTTCTAAAGGATGGTTGTATAAAGCTCCATACGAATAAGGCACGATGAGGCGATGGTGTTGAGAGTGGATGTGTTTGTATAAGAACTTGTTGATGTGCATGTAGCGATGAATGAAGTATTGCCAAGTGTCGATTACGAGCATGGCGATGATGAATTGCCTAGCGAGGAGTAGAAGGGAGAATTGCTGCGTCGTAGACGCATCTGCATCATCACTTCCTGTTATCTACAGAAAGATTAAAAAAAAAACATATATAAACTTCCACCAAAAAACATATCTAGAGTGTGTAGTACCATATCATGAGAACCATAAACCTCAAACAGAATACACAGAAACACCACAGAGTCATGAATCTGAACCATTGTTCTAAAAATTGTTTTAGTAATAATTTGATCCAAAATTTGATAAGTGCAACTTATATTCATAATTTTGAAGAAATTTATACGATATTAAACTTATATATTTTATTTGTGGGTTTTATACAGATCTAAATGTGAAAAAGTATTAATATTCTACAATTAAAGATTAACATGTTTTATAACATATTAAACAATCTAAAATTTCTGCCCCGCATAATCTCTGCTTAATCTCCGGTTTCGCTAGGTCCAACCTGACTGCATGACTAGTGCCTAGAAAGTTTCAGAACAGGGATCTGAACACTCGAACAGTATGAAAATACAAGATAAATTCTGTAAGGGTTACCAGAGGTCATTAGCTCAACTAGAAACTAATATTACATGGTGGTTTCGGGCCTGGGGGATTAGGACTATCGCCCGAACCTCTTGGTAATTTAAAAAAAAAAAACTCTAAGGGTGTACACTAGGAGAGAAGAAAATGTTGCACATGTGAATGATGAAGAAGAGGAAAACAGCAAGAAACCGAAGATCTGAGTTTTGATTCATCAGACTTTTAAAAATCTTTCCTTTGCATCCCTAAACTATCAATAACCACGATTTACAAGCTTAAGGACAATAAAGATGCTTCATTTCAATACATAGATCTCTAATTCATCCATAAAGTTTCAACCTTTCAATCAATAAGAGGACAAGGTAAAGAGAGAGAAAGAGACCTTGAAGAGAATAACGGAGATGATAGCCTGAAGAGTCTGTTGAAGAAGAACGCCCTTGACGACAGCAGATTTAGTAACGAGATTCTTCTCATCCTCGTCCACCTTGGAATGCAACCTATACCTCTCCAAAGATCCTAAGCAAATGTACATCCCTGAATACACCCAATACACCACAATCGGCACGAACGTGCCCAGAAACTCATCTGATATCGCGAAACCCATCATCTGTATTCTGTAGAGTATATATATATATATGTTCTCCTCCTACACACCGCCTGAAGAAGAAAATCGCAGCACTCTTCGCCTAATGGACCCTTTTATTATCAAGAGGTGATAAATTACACGAAGAGAGATTAGAGAATCTTCTTCGTCGCCGCACGGTGTTTTTCTTTCTCTCTTTCTGCGTTGAGAGGAAAGAAAGAAGACGCGGAAGATCTACTAATATTATGACTTTTCAATTTTCGGTATTTTTGGTGGGACCCGATTATTCTGGATTGTCTACGTGGCTGATGAGGATTGGTTAAGGTGCCAACTGGTTTTGTTTTGTTTTTTTGTCGTCCAACTGGTTTTGATTTTTTATGCGCGCTAATATTATTCATTAATAAATAATCTGATGAAAATTATAAGACATGAATAAAAGCGTAAAAGAAAAACATAATCATTGACTTGCCTCTCTGTCTAATTCGGTGGCTCCCTCGTGGGAGTGTGGTAATAATCAGGTATTTTTATTTGTTTATTTAGTACTGAAATTTTGATAAAAGTATATAGGAAAACTTTTTTTTTAGCAAAAATGTTTATTAAATAATTCCACAAACAAATAGTCTAGGAAAGTAAGATATAATGTCTCATATCAAATAAAACCACACCAAACAGGTAGAAAATGGAGCGCTAATAATAAGACAAGTGAATAACAAATCTATTGTTACAACAAAGCCTAGTGCACAAGATGAACTTGTCAATGATTCATTCATGTGCCACAGAAAAGAAGCTAACTTTGTTAGCAAACCATAACAAAGTCGCCTCCTTTTGGAGAGCCAAAAACAATGGGGACAAGAACAAGAGACAACCTTTAAGACTCTGCTTTTGTTGTCTCCGATGGTGTTTCTTCAGGCCCTCCAGATTCTTCCGGACCTCCAGATTCTTCAACAATCTGGTTTAAGATGGGACAGCGAAGAACAAGCAGTGTTATCTATCTTAGGTCGAGTAGAGTGAGTCAATTAGTGAGATAAATAGAGAGATGGAGAGTGAACATACCAAAGAACCGACTTGCTCATAGGCTCTCATCACTTTTGAATCTTCCTCGTATTCATATCCTACCTGTAGAATCCGCGGCCCGTTCACTGACCAAAAAGCCCTTCGTCCTGCCTCCTGCAACATCAAGCCAAAGAAGTTTTGACAATATCAGCGGACATTTCTTTAGAAAATAAAAAGTAGGCGAGATAGAGAACTTTTCTACCTGTAAGATGATCAAATATATAGCTTCGAGTGTCTGAACACGAATGTCAGCGTCAGTAACTGGCTCTCGCTCAATGGAAAGCGCACTTCCAAGCTCAGGTGGCATTTTTGAGATGTCTTCCTCACTGTATATCTAAGGAAAGTAACAACTCAATAATCAGAAGCTGATAACCTTTTATAGCCTGCAACCAAGTAGCACTTATTAAGCGAAATCAACAAACCTTACTGCCTGCAACTGGTAGGAGCAGAGCAGGCCAGAGAAACTCTGATATCAAGAGTATATTCTCCAGCTGGTTCTTAGCTTCAAAAGAGCAGTTACGGATAGTCCCAGCAACCTGAACACCCATAAAGCATAATCCATGTTTTAAGTCTCCTAAAGGTAGTTTAAGTAACACCTTCATTAAAGAAGACAAACTCTTTTCAACGTACCCCTTTCTTACGCAGTTGATTTGTTGAATCAAACTGCCTAATGATCTGTTTAAGTAGTCCTCTCTTTGGCTCCAGTAACATTTTCCTCCCATCTTCTGTTTTCGATATGTTCACTAGGATAGAGCCAACATGCTCAAATTGATCATCTGGTGCATAAAAAGAAAAACAAAACCACCAAATTATTCTTACTTGTACGCAACTAAATGGGGCACTAAACACTAACAGTAAGCAACTAAACATAACCTTTCTTATGATTGCGATGCAAATATAAAGGAGTCAGAATAAAAAAATTACGTGGACAACTTACAAAGATACACTTCGAAAAATTTACATAACAAACTGAGACCAAAAAGCTCAGAGCATACCAGATTTTTCTCCAGAAGACCTGCAGAATGACCTGACAAGCTTCATGATATGTAGTCCACGCATCTTCTCATCTTCAATCTAACATAGTCATAACGTTCAACAAAATTAGCTACCTCACCGTTAAACTACCAAAAAGACAAACCCCAGACTCTCTTACAAAATCTGATGATAAACTACAAAAAAAAAAAAAAAACAAATGACCTGAAGCAAGGAAGAAACGCCATCATCCAACTGAGTAAGATTCACAAGAAGCATGACAAGCAATCTAGTAATACAAGACTCTGGCTTATACAACATGTCCATAGCCACTTTGATCAAACCCATCTGAATCATCTTCCCAGCCAATTCAGAGTTCTGGGAAAGGTTTACAAGAGCCTGAGCTGCTGGCTCTGAGACCTCCTGATTCAAAAAGTTCCAACCTTTATCAATAAAACTAATCCAAATCTACAAAAAAAAATTAGAGCTTTTAAGTGTTAAACTATAATCAAAGGACCTTGCTTTCACTAAGGAGACGAGACAGTGATGGAAGTAGAATCTCTGAATACTTTGATAGAGATTGTAAACCTTCCTCAGAACCAGTTAATCCACTAACAATCTCAACCGCAGCTTTCTTCACCTGCACGGTTGTTTTTTCATATAAATAAGAATTCAACAGAAACCCTAGAATATAAAGTTGTCGGTGCATCGCAGAAGCAGATGAAAGTAGAGCTTACAGGAGGAGAAGGAGACGATAGAAACTCGACAAGCTCTTCTAGCTCCGTCGCCATATCCTTAGTCTACGACGGAGAGAGAGAGTATTCAGGTGTGGGCTACAAAAACTTCTCTGCGCGCAATGTCACTGCCGGCGAACGCGAGAAATCCTCAGGGTTTTTGTTCTCATTACAAATACAAACACCTTAAGCTGATCCAGAAGGTTCCTAAGAACGAATAAGGTAAAACAAAAAAGGAAAACCGGTCCAAACATTTAAACCGAGATCGCGAACCAAACACAGACCGTGCCTCCATGTCGGATTTTTATCTTTGACAAAAATAAACAATCTTTCACCAAAAAAAAAAGAGAGAATTTTTCACATTTGGGGTTGAAGAAAAGAAAAAGATGGAAGCTTGTTTGAGATGTTCACGAGGAAGCAATCTAATTCAAGCCTTGAGACCAATCCGCAAATTCTCCGTTTCTCTCCGCTCTTCTTCTTCTTCTTCTTCTGTCTCTTTCACCACAGGTTAGTTTCTGATTTTCCTCTGTTTCAGTGAGAATGCATTTTGATTCAAAGAGTGAACTTGATACACCAAAAAATGATTTTTTTTTTTTTTTTTTTTAAATTGGGTCTATGTGAAGACAAGCCGGTGAAGAGAGCTTATGATGGTTTGTTGCTTGATGCTGGAGGAACCCTTTTGCAATTGTCGGAGCCTGTCCATGAAACTTACGCTTCCTTGGGCCAAAAATACGGTCACTTTCTTTTACACTTTTGTTTGATACGAAAACAGTTACATTTCTTCTCGGATGATCTCTGAGCTGTTTTCTTATTGTATCTACTAGTTCAGGTCTTAAGACAACTCCAGCTGAGATTAAGCAAGGTTTCAAGAGAGCTTTTGCTTCTTCTTGGCCTGAGAAGTTGCGTTACCAGGTCACTACCTGAAATGAGTGTATTCTCTCTTTGTTTTTATTTCCGTTAGTTTTAGATTATGTCTTTCATCGTTTTTCTTCATTGCTTTGTCAGGGAGATGGAAGACCATTTTGGAAGCTTGTTGTTTCGGAAGCTACTGGTTGTTCTGATAATCAATACTTTGAAGAAGTCTACCAAGTGAGTTTATATCGAACCTGAGCTCTGCTCTTTTATAATAGGCTTCAACTTCCACTAACAATTGCTTTCTTTGGCTTTTTAAATAAGCAAATCTTATGTTGTTACCTTTAGTATTACGCGAATGGTGAGGCGTGGCATCTCCCAGAAGGAGCTTATGAGACAATGTCACTACTGAAAAATGCTGGAGGTTACTATTATTTACATTGAAGAACTATCTGCTTGTTTACTTTTTTTTTTTTTGTATTCGTTGTTGCTAATTTCTGAAATTGGGGCTAAGATGGTTGCAGTTAAGATGGCTGTTGTCTCCAATTTCGATACACGCCTTAGAAAGCTTTTGAAGGATCTTAATGTCATTGATATGTAAGCTTTGCCATCTTTTTGTGTATTAAACCTCAAATCGGAGAATGCTATAATAAGCTTTGCCATCTTTGGTTTGCACTTGTACAGGTTTGATGCTGTGATTGTATCCTCGGAAGTCGGATACGAGAAGCCTGATAGCCAAATCTTCAAATGCGCTTTAGGTTCTGCATCCTAAACTGAAGCTTTGTTTCCTTTGAATAGTTTTATACACTTATAATTTATATTCTATGTCATGTTGCAGATCAAATCAACGTAGAAGCAAACAGAGCAGTGCATGTTGGAGATGATGAGGGAGCAGACAAAGGCGGTGCAAACGCCGTCGGTATTGATTGCTGGTGCGGCACAAATACCTTTTCAAGTTCTTGTTCTTCTTTCTTTCAAAATCCTTCAAGACACATATTGTTTCTATTCTTTCTTTGAATCATCAGGTTATGGGGCAAAGATGTGCAGACATTTTCAAACATACAAGATCGGATTTTGGTTTCAGAACACTAAGCTTCAAAGATCTTTCTCCAATGTGGTTTAGCTTTGGTCTAATGGAGGTAACATTGGAATGTCTGCTAATACGATTGGTCCTGCCATGGGCATTGCACCTCTGAAGTGTTTTTAGTTACTACCCAGCTTATGTAACTTATGCATTTTTGGCATTGGTAGTGTATTAAATAAGAAAGCATGGTCTGTCTTTTTGATTAGTATTCAAACCAAAATAAAATCATCTTTCCACTGTCTTTACAATAACATGTTGCAGTACAAGTGTAATTGTTTGAGAGTTGAGAGACTAAATACTGTGTTAGTTCTGCATTTGCATGCTCACCATTTGTATGTGATTAAAAATAACGAGTTTTTTTACTTATGATTTAGTTAGAAATAATAAATTGAGTAGCAACATTTTAAAAATCCGTAATTGAATAACATTTTTTTTTCAGAAGTCCAATTTATAAAAGAAAATCAATCCAACAAACCACGTTAATTATATCTGAGAAAAGGATTTAAAAGAAAGAGGTTAAATGGGCCATAATAAATCTCGTTATGTATTAAATGGGCTTTCTTGCAAGCCCAACGGAATAGCCTTCTAGTTGACCTAGAAAACATCAGATAGTATAAAATAAAAAGCCATTTTCTGAGAGGGTTTGGTCTAGCAGCAGCCCTGTGTTCAGGTTGAGGAGAGACGCCATGGGAAGAAGTAAGTCTCTCGATCTCCCTCGTTTGTGATTCTCAACTTAGTGTTATTCACTGTACATCTAATTATATTTAATAGCTTTCTTCCGACATGAGCTTATTAGTTATGTAATAAGATTAGTAGAGCTATGTTTTTCCGTACATTTTTGTCTGAAAGAGACAATGTAGCCTAATTGAATCTGAACCAAATGTAGGACCGGCTAGGTGTTACCGTCAGATCAAGGGTAAGCCATACCCTAAATCTCGCTACTGCCGTGGTGTCCCCGACCCCAAAATCAGGATCTACGATGTCGGCATGAAGAAGAAAGGTGTTGACGAGTTCCCTTTCTGTGTCCACTTGGTCTCATGGGAGAAGGAGAACGTCTCCAGCGAAGCTCTCGAAGCTGCACGTATCGCTTGCAACAAGTATATGGTGAAATCCGCTGGAAAAGATGCTTTCCACCTGAGGATTAGGGTTCATCCGTTCCATGTTTTGAGGATCAACAAGATGCTTTCGTGTGCTGGAGCTGATAGGCTTCAGACTGGTATGAGAGGTGCTTTTGGAAAGGCTTTGGGGACTTGTGCTCGTGTTGCGATTGGTCAGGTGCTTTTGTCTGTGAGGTGTAAGGATGCTCATGGTCATCATGCTCAGGAGGCTTTGAGGAGGGCTAAGTTTAAGTTCCCTGGTCGTCAAAAGATTATCGTCAGCAGGAAATGGTATATTGATTGGTGGTTTCACATTGGTGTTTGAGGATAGTGTTGCTAAGTTCATTAAGTTTGTGATTTTTTTTTTCAGGGGTTTCACGAAGTTTAACAGAGCAGACTTCACGAAGTTGAGGCAAGAGAAGCGTGTTGTTCCTGATGGTGTTAATGCTAAGGTATCTCATTAGTGTCATCACACTTTTGATTCTTTTGTTATTGTAATGTCTTTTGATGTTGAGTTGTCATGACATTGTCTTTGGTTGCTTTTGCAGTTCCTCTCATGCCATGGACCTTTGGCTAACCGTCAGCCCGGAAGTGCATTTTTGCCAGCAACCTATTGAAGTTTTAGAACTGTCGTCTCTCCTCTGAAGAATTATATTCAGTCTGAAACTTCGTTATAATCTTTAAATTTTAGTTGGATACATTCAGTATTCTGAATCTTTATGAAATGGTATTACTTTGGCCAATTTCCTTTTGCAAGTTTTTTTTTTACTTTTGATCCATAATTACCTCAGAACAAATGAAATCAAAGAATTTGAGGACTAAAATTGGTCAAATAAGCTTGAAAACTTTGTTTGACTCTTGAAGGTTTGTTTATTCAGTTTATTTTATTGAATTCACTTCTAAGTAAAATATTTTAAAAGAAAAATATATAGGTGCTACAACTTTCTAACAGAGATGGGTGATTGGAATCCCTTTTATATTAATAGGGAAACAATTTTAAGAACTAATCTTTAATTTGTAAGTTATTTACAAGCATGCCATTTTGCTTAGGTGTCATCACCATAGATTCTCTCACAACATTTAACTAACAAACCATCTATTACTAGACTAATTACAAAGAGTGCCACTGGTCATACCACTTATTCATATTAAAAATTCGTATGAAAATCTCCTATAGTGGAAAAGTCTTTATCTGAGTAAAGACGATAAATCTATAGGCATAATTCATTTTTGTCGTTAGTCATCTGCCCAAGATTTAACAATATTTTACATGTATGAATAACAAACCATATTCTTCAATGTTGGCAAAGCTATCTGCGAAACACAATCAATCATATATGTTCATATGAGTTTATTCTGTATTTATAAAATAAATTGATAATTATATGCATGCATGAAGAAAAGTAATTTTTCAGAATAATTATTTAAATTCTACGAATTCATATGAAGAGAAGAGGATTTTCATAATGTTAGTTAGTCGCTGACTGTAAGAATTGCTTAACGATTTGCACTCATAATCATTCTTAGAATCCATATGAACATTTTTAACAACACAATACTTTCTGTGTTACTATAATGTATTTATGCATAAATTTCTTTTAGAAGAAATCTGTGTAGTATATAAAATGATTATATAGATTAAGTTTAGCAGTGAAATGCGTATATTTCTCACATGATTGTATATGAACTGGTCATGTAAATTGACAGATTTTCTTTACGACATATAAATTGACAGCTTGTGTTGATCACTTTGAATAATTTATATGAAATTACAATTTCAAAATGTCTATAGTTCATCTTATTTAACCCGTCAAAAAAAAATAGTTAGGTGGTAAAAAACTTAGTTGACCGTAATCAACATTCATTACGGAGGATGTACACTACATACGTGATCTGCAAGGGGAAATTGATATGATTTTTAGTTATGGAAATTTCTAATAAATTACAATTATTATACTTGGGGTGATGGTAAATTGGTAACATTTATTTATTAAGTGTTTCCTAAATGGAAATGAGTAATTACTTTCCTTATGATCTCTACGATTATACAAGACTTTTAATTATTGGTCAAACTTTAATTTTCATATAACTTTACCCATATTTGGTAATAACAAGTGCTTGCCACATGTTTAGGATGAAAAATCACTGGAGAAATGAATTATAAAATATTTGTAGCCTAATTAAGGTTCTACCTAAACCCTTAATCACGTGAACTATATATTAGATTCCATACTCATTTGTACTGCACCACTACCAAGTTCTCAAAGCAAAAAAAAAAAGAATGCTATGAACATATGATCAACCGTTTGTTAGCTGGGTCATTTTCATAATTGGATTGTTAATAAACTGGCCCAATTATTTCATCATTTACTTATCATCTCACGTAGCTCATCCAATAGTTAAAGGCATGTAAGAAACTGAACACATTTGCATGATTACATGCAATAATTTTGATGCATGTAAAGTGTGACAGTTTGCTCAAAAAAATAAAGTGAATAGGTACAGTAAAATCTCTATAAATTAATAATATTGAAACTTTAGAATTTTATTAATTATAAAAATATTAATTTTCATAATTTTGATTATATAACATATATTTATGTTGTTATCACCCCGCGTAAAACGCGGGTCCCACCTAGTGTTCTATTATTTCTAACATTTTTTCTTTTGATGTCTCTTTAGCTAACATGTATAAGAGCATGAACAGTAGCGCTGGGGATATGATTCATTACCCGCGGATCCCGCCTTGTTTGACCCGCTGTAGGGCGGATGCGGGTTGTATAATTTGAAAAAATGATTAGCGGGTGCGGATTATGAGTATTTTATGCGGGGCGGGGGCGGGTTGGTGGATTTTGAATCGCGGGTACTCGTCAACCCGCAAATTTTTTTTTTCATTTTTTTAAAAATACGGTATTTTTAAAAAATTAAGAATTAAAAAAACTTAAAATATATAATTTTATTATAAATATTTTATTTTTATTACTTTTCATAAGAAAATAAATTAAATAATTATTTTTAAAAAAATATATATAACCCTCGGGTCAGGTGAATTACCCGCAAAATTAAACGGGGCGGATGCGGGTGTAAATTTATATGTTTGCGGGTTGTGCATGTCAGATTTTTAAACAAAAAAAATAACTAAAACCCGCGGGTTGGTGGGTCAGTAGTAGGGGTGGGCACTTTATCCGATACCCGAACTCGTACCCGAACCCGACCCGAAATATCCGAACCGAAATCCGAACCGAAGTACCAAAATACCCGAACGGGTATTGAGTTAAGAGAGTTTGGATATCCGAACCCGAACGGGTAATACCCGAACCCGAACGGGTATCCGAAGATAACCGAACATATGTATATATACCTATTTATTCCTAGTTTATTTTGTCTCATTTTATTAAAACTATTTATATTAATGTTATAAATAGTTTAATATCAGATAATATACATATAATTATAAAAAATGTGATTTGTTACTTATTTAAAATACATATTAAGCTTCTTATTTCATACTTTAAACAAAATTTGCATCCAAAATTCGAAAATAACAACCAAAATAATGATTTTTATTTTCAATAATTTATTTTCAAACTTATTAATTGTCTAACTTATTGAAAATTTTAAAAACAGTTAAGTTAATAGTTAATTTTTAAATACATAAAACTTAAGTAATAAAGAATTTGAAATTTTTCTTCCAAAATCTAAATATCTGAACCCGACCCGAAATAACCGAACCCGAACTAAAAATATCCGAACCCGACCCGATATGTAAAAATACCCGAACGGGTTCTAAACCCTAATACCAAAATACCCGAAAACCCGAAATACCTGACCCGAACCCAAACGGGTACCCGAACGCCCACCCCTAGTTAGTAGTGCAATGAACAGCTATGAAATCCTAATTGTCTTTCTCAATAAAAGTATAATAATAACATTTTCATTTATAAATATATTTCATTGATACCCTTAACATTCTCAATTGCACTGCATACACACCACTTATCTCGTCAATTTAGACAAATGACGCTTCTCACTATTATGAACTGTGCATAATTTATAAAGACATTGATACTCCTATCAAATCACTCATTTATCTACAAATTCTCTTTTTTAAAGATTTGCGTATCTTTTGTTAGAAGAACCTAATCTTCAAAAATATATCTCTTTAAAATTTGTTATCTGAACTTCGAAATCTTCATCCTCATTCTTCTTCCACTCTTCCTGCCATAGCCGAACACAAATGGTCATCTTGCAAAAAATGAATAAATGTTAATAAATCAGGGTTGGTGTAACGAAAAGTGTTAGGACCCCAAGTAATTTAGGTTTCAAGGATTCAAAAATCCACTCAACTTTCCCTACGGCTTCTAATTTAAAAAACGAATCAGAGGCAAATGCTTTGCTTGGTGAAAATTTACGTATCATGGCTGTCACTAAATGTTTACAAACAAGAATTTTAGTACAGCTTAAAGTTTTAAACTATACCTTTCCAACTCAGTAGCAGCAACCTTCGAAAAAAACTTTTGACTTCTTCTTTATAATTCTTTATGACTGAAGGTCTGAGTTAAAGATTCTGGAAAAAAGTTTCAGGTTAAAGTGTTTTATAGACTTAAGAGAAAGAAAGTGAACCATCTCTCTTGCTTACGTTTCTTCTGTATTTATAGGCTCAAGATATTTACGATACATTATCCAGGTGTCAGTCGTTTGTGTCAGAGATTATACAGCAAGTAACTTTAGGAGAAATTTTTGGGTTTTTAGTGAATTTTAGTGGACCTCTAGAAGTTCACCAAGTGGACCTCTAGAAGTTCACCAACTATCTATTCTATTAAAATAGAGTCATTCTTTTATCTACTAATACAAGTTATCATTTAAACTTGGACCATTTCTAAAATGTTACAAATAATATAAGTCATATAATTGATTGAACCGTATTACTTAAATTAAACCAACACAATTAATGTAAAAATACGACCTTAATGTAAACTACCTTCAAAATACGGCAGATATCTATGTATATACCGAAAACACATATTTTCTCCTACAAATATGGAATGTTTAAAAATAATATATATCATCAAAATATGGAATATGAAAATCTACTAATTATACTTAAATTAAATCAGTGGTTATTTATGGAATATAATCTTGGGCTTACTTTTATTTTTTGAACAAATTATATAGTTTGGTTTTTGGGATTAATATTAAGAAAAAAACTCCAAAAAACATTGAATAAACTTTTCACCTTAGAAGATCAAAAAATCAATTATTATTTTCAGACCCAAAAGATATTTAATATTTTTAACAAAATAAAATTATCTATTATTAATCATCTATTAAAATCATGTACTTTAAAACAAGTTAATATATTTTTTATTTTAAATAACAATCACTTTGTTTTGATAAATTTCAATTGTAACTTTTAAATAATTTATTGTTTTATTTTTCTTAAATAAATTTACTGAGTAAAAAATGTAAAGCAAAACCAAAAACCAAATCTAAAAAACTAAAATCCAAAACTGAAAACTGAAAACACATATTATATTTTTTTTTGCTTTGTTTATTTACAATATAAACTATTTCAATTTTTTTTTTTAATTTTTTTCATCTTTTCAGTTTTAAATTAGAGATTCGATTATTTGAGATTTGTTTGTTGGTAATATCAGTTCAAACTAACTCAGCGGATTTAAAAATTAAAAACCCAAACCAAAAACTGAAAATAAAAAGTAGAAACTTAAAAACTAAAAACCAAAAACCAAAATCTAAAAAATAAAAAGTGAAACTAAAAACTAATGAAATACAATCATCACCATAAATTTTGGTCAACTGATTTTATATCAAAATATT